ATTAATTGATAAAGAAGGGATTTTGTTTTTAAAAAGGATGTGAGAGTCAAAGTCAGACTCAGACACGCAAGCACTAGCTGGCAGTAGTGAACAAGGCTAAAGAAAAGAGAATTGGAGGAGGGTGTGTCTGTCCATAGGTTTAGCTAATTGTTTTTTCTTTTCTTAAAAATTGGAAGATAAAGTCGATACTATGTACTAAGCTTAATTATAAATTACAAACCCACAACCACTAACCATTAATGAATGTAGTTAGTTTGTCGATTATAAAATGGAGGTTCGATTATCCATTACAGATGTGTATGTATGTCTATAGTTGATGTGTTGGTTCATAATATATCATTATCGTTTTTATAAAAGTACCCTCCCTCATTCATTTTGAATTCCCATTCACATTAAAATAACGAAATTATTGCATTTCAAAATAATTTAATTCTAAAAAAATTTAATTTTTGGAATATAAAGATGATTCATATAGAAAGTAGTATCATATTAAAAAGTTTTAAGGTTTGATATTAATATCTCTTTGAAATCATCAATCGAGAGTCCCAGACATGATAATTTTCGTTGTTCATGTATTACGTGCCATTTACGAATTTCACCGTTGTGTGTGTATGTGAAAACAATGCATACATATTCCCTAGAAACAAAATTAAAAAATGCTAATGTTCACTTTTAGAACTAATTTAAGCAGTTAAAATGATTATTTTTTATTAAGAAATTTTATATAAAAAATAAAATCATAATAATTATTTATAATACTTTTTAATATTTAAAACAAATCTTTAACATTGATATCAACAAAATCGTAAAAAAATATTGCGTTAGTGATAATTGGGCCTTGCACAGAACTCTCATATAAGCCCAAATGATACAAAATATACTTTGGATCTCAAATAAGCCCAACTATTACATAGCTACCTTTTCAACTTTCTTTAGCTGGGAATCGGGGAATGTAATAGAACTAATGATTTTGATTTGTGCTGTGGTGAGAATTGGTGATTAGACGTGATAAACGGGTTTGAATTGCACGATCTGGTTTTTTCTTTTACAAGTGTTCTGATTTATACATGGTGGGGCTAAAGTAACTATGTTTGCTTGTAATTTTTCTTTTTCGATTTGTTTTGTTCAACATGGTGTCAAACATGTTCCCTTTTATGTTTTTGTTCTTTGCATACACTTCTTAAGTGAAAATTCGTTTTGATATAATGCATCATCCCTCTTGAGGACCAATGCAAACTCAACTTATCCGTTGTTTATGTTTGTTTATCTATCTTGTTAACAGTGTGCAACAATGACTGATGCAATTGAATTGACTAATGAAGGAGTCACTATCAGGACCATTGTGAGGAAAAGTAAGTCAAATGCTGTGGCTTCAACAGAAGATTTTCCTGTTGTTGATGGTTTGTTTGTGTTGTGCCAATAAATTAGAGCAGTTGATACTTTAGTAGTGATGAACTACATTACTTTATAATCTTTATAAGATGTAATATACTCTGGACCTCTATGTAGTTCATCACTAGTAAAATCACTGTTGTCATTAAGTGTTGTGGACATTTCAATCATAGATTATCTTATCTTCATTCTATTTAAGAAAAAGATGGATATCTCTTATCTTCTTGCTGTTGGATATGGGAACACACCAGCAATTAAAGTACCTGACCTTTAATATGAATGGCCTCTTATTTACTAAAATTGCATGTTCACCGGTTCAGTCATTAGTGTTTAAGAGGACCACTCTGTTATTAGAGTGAGAATGCATGTGTGGTAAATTGGCAAAGGGTAGCAATGAAATTGAAAATTTTACTAAGGTTAGGGTATAGCAAGGTTTGATTCTGTTAACCAAATGACTTTAAATTTACTAAGATGTGTAACATGCTTGTAAACATTAACAGTAACTTCATAGAGCTTAAACACTTTTTGAATGTTTGGAAAAATCTAAGATTGGTAGATAAGGATTTTGCCAATAGGTAGGATTACTTTAAGATGTCTAAGTAAGAGAACAGAATGGGTATAAACTGCAGATATTAGATTAGAAAAGATTAAAAGGAAGAAAAAAGTGAAGTAGCATAGGACTAATGAAAAGCATTGCATGATAAACATTAACCTCTACATCACTCCATTCAAAGAAAACAAACTTGTAAATATTAGCGCTTTTGAAATTCTACAAAAAACGTATCATCAACAACAAAATAAAAAGCATTACATGTTCTAATAATCTATGTTTGTAATTCCAATGGTATAAGAATTTCAACGTTAGTCCTATTATTATTATTATTATACACATCAGCACAGCTTACTAATTCAAAGCCCATTTGGCCCAAACACGAAAACATGACCGAAAGTGAAAATTTACGCAAAACACCATAATACTAAAGCCCAAATACCAACTACTATTTCTAATCATATGATCACATTGAACATTTTCGTCTTGACCTACTCATTCATATTCAGCCTTGTAACTTTCAATGACCATAAATGTTGCATGTTTGTTCTGCTGTACAAAATCTATTCTATTAAGTTTGAAGAATGAGTGGAGTTTACTTTTTTTATATGGTATAAATATTGAACAGATGTCTAACAAACTTTATGCATTATCTGTCTAATCTTAAACGTGAGAGAAATAACTTAAAAAAATGTTTCACATCTGGAAAAGATATTCCCTAATTATACAAAATAAATAAAATATATATTTTATTTTGCACTCAATGTTTTCCTTCAAAGTACCATTGTAGTAAAACTATCTTTAAATATTTCTTGATTTAATTCTCACACTATATACTTTTGTTTTTTAATATTATTTTATGTTTTTTAATATTAGAACTAAAGAATATATACTGATGACATGTTAATAAAAAGGATAGTGTTATATAAGATTCGTGAATGGGTCGAATGAAAAACTAAAATACAAATTCAATACGATACGATATTATAACCCTAATAAACCGAGAACTGAAAACTCACTTAAACATAATTATAAAGGAAAGAGAGACATCAAAGTCAAAGTCAGCACACATGCAAGATTGGACGTGGCCATTCTTCTTTTCTTTTTCTGGATAACTTTATCCAGTCATCCATACACGTACATGTTTTCTACTTAAAACTTATAGCTTTAGTCTCCATAATATCAACTTAGTTTGTTCAACTCACAAATTTCGAATAGGGAACAGAGTGTTCAAACATTTAGAATTGTGCAAAATGGTGTAAAACTTATAGATGTGAATGTGATGCGTTCTTATATGTACTTTATATTATCAATACAATATAATGTACATAATCCACGGTAGGATACAAAAGGGAAAAACTTGACAACAGTCAATTATTTAAAGGTATACATATTAGTAGTGTTTTAATGAATACCAGGGTGTCCTTCACATGAATAATAGATACCCATAAACATTCGTGAGTATTTAAAAATTTAAATTATAATATAAAATAACTTGATATAATTTACCATCATATAATATAATTTTATATATTATTTTGGTTTTTATATAATTAAAATAATGTTCCAAATAACATATCAAGATTACTCATATATTTTATAATAGTCAAACTATATATATGCATAATTATTTATTAAAAAATCATTATATATGTAATACATTTATTAAAAAAAACTTTATAAATTAAATGGATATCCATGGGGACTAATGTTGTGATATATTCATCTACCTAATGGGTATCCATTGATCTTTAGCCCCATTGTTTACAATTCATATAAATATACTAAATTACAAACATTAGTATTTTTGCCCTATTGTCGTTTAGTGTAAATTTAAATATTGTTAAATTATAATTTTTTGTCTCTTATTGTTATTTAAAATTTTAATTTAATCGTTTAGTTTTCATTTTTCTTAATTTTATCATTTTTATTAATTTTTATGATTTTTAATTGTCATTAAAATCAATAACTACCTTGATAAAAGGATAGAATTAAAAGGTGAAATAAATGATTAAATTACATAAAAATAAAAATAAATTGAGCTGAATTTTTAAACAAACATAAGATGGGTGAAGATAGTAAATATATAATATTGTTCTACAAAAATTTTACGGATGCCACAATTTGATTAAAAATAACTTACAGAATATCACATCTTTTATATGAATTAGACATGACTTAGATTAAAACATTTTTTGGTTGATTAAAATTGAGATATAAAACAACATGATAATTCAATTAAAACAAGCACATTCAGTTAGACAGCACATTAATTTTCCTCTCAATTTTATTGAAGAAACCCTTATGGTATGATAAGTTGTGGGGGTGAGAAAAATAAGTTGTCTATAAGGGTTTTTCTTTTCTTTTTATTAGACACAAATTTTAATTTAAAATAATTTTTTTACTACTCAATGTCATTATATAGTGCATATTTAATAAAACAACAAACCTATTATTTAAGAGTAATAATTTACAATTAGTTAAAGAAGTCTAAGAACCTAAATAATTTTACCTGCAATATTAAAGTTATGTTTAGCAAAATTTAATGAAACTTATAATTTACAACTATGAATTCGTTTTATAATTTGTTGTTAAAAACTTATAATTACATAGTTATTATTGAATTAGTGGTATTGAATAAATTTATTTATACAATTAATTAAAATATATTAAATAACTAAAATAATATTATATTATTATAATATTTAAATTAAAAATATTTAAATTAAATACGACCTATCTTCTTATTATTTAATAATTAATTTTTATCAATTACTTAAATAGAAGGTGGTGGTAGTCTCTAATATGACTAGAGAGTGAGTGATGTTTTTTTTTATTATGATCAGAATTACTGTGTGAATGTAAAATATTTAAATAGTTAAAATAAAAAATAAATTACTGGTAATTAGGTTTTTCAACTAATCACTATGCTAATGTTTTTAGAAAATTATAAATTTTTTTAATTAATTTATTGACCAAACTAATAAATTAAAAACTCTTAGATAAACTACAAATATAAGTTGTCAGAGTCAAAAAATTTCAATCCAATAATCACAAATTTAAAGAAGGTTTTATTCAATAAATAAGCCGGGTCCCGACCCAATGGCAGGATAAGAAATGCTTGATCAAATACTATGTATAGTATAATATAATAAAAAAAAATTCTCACACTAAGAAAAACTCCCTAGTCTTCAATAAGATCGACGGCTACAAAACGATATCCAAAACCTAAGGAGCAAATCCTAGCCGTTGAGTGGCGAGTTCACACCTAGTATCAGTGAATCCAACCCTAGACTTCTCCAGATCAAACTCCATCCACACATTCTGCTGATGATGATGACCAATCACATATGCTTCAATCCCTAACATATCAGAGTTCCCAAAAGTGAAGCAATGCACCCAATCATTCCCCTTCCGAACACCATACAACAACCTCTCCCCCGACACCCTCATCTCCGCCCCCGAAAACACCAGCGTTACCGCCGGCACCGCCCCCACACTCGCCGGAGCCTTAAAACACAAGTCCATCGCCCCCTCAAACACAAAGTTCGTGTCATCAATCCGAGTCAACACGCCCTTCGTCTGTTCCACAAACTCATTCTTCAAAGCCGTGTAAGCCGACCCGAGAAGAAATGTGAACTGGGTACCGGAATCCACCATGGTTTGACCCGCCCCGGTATGGTCGGGTTCAAATACCCACTTCGGTAACTGCAGAAGTTTCTCTGAAACCTTAATCCCCACGAGCTGGACCGTGTACGCGACACGGTCGAAGTACGGCAACGAGGTTCTCGTTTTCACCAAAGGAGTGTACTGGAGTGGGCCCAGCCACGGCAAGGTGGCGCCGCCGAGGAGCAACACGCCGGAGGCGTCGTTACCGGAAATGCAGTACGAGAATTTCGGAACCGCCATTTGGGTCACGAACGACAGTGAGCCGCGATTCATGCCCATTAACCCTGTTGTTCTAGAATCTTCTTCGGTGTTAGAACTGTACCCGGAGTCCATGCACCCGAATGTTGTTCCCGGTTGAGCGTAGCTTCCGATGAAGAACGTTTCGGTGGCGAGGTTGCCCTCGATGGACGATGCGTCGGCGTAGGAGACGGTGACATGGCAGCGTTTATTCGGGTCGCAGGAAACGGGTAAGGATAAGTCACGGGTTCGGGTCGTGCACGTTGGAGAGGTGCATGGGGTTGGGGTGTAGGAGGAAGAGAGGAGTGGGTTGAAGGTTGAGTTTAGTTTTGGGAGTTTTTTGCAGTGTAGCCATGAGAGTTCACTCCCTGTGTCGAGGACCATGGTAACGTTCTGTGGGGGCGAGCCTACGGTTAGTGAGACTGTTAATGTTACGTTGTGCTGGAAAGGAAGCTTATGTGATGGTGTTAGTGTTTGTGCTTTTAGGGGCAATATTATGGGGTTTTGTGTTTTCGATGAAGAGACATAACAAGTGGGTGTTTGGGTTTGAAGGAGAATGAAGAGAAGGGGAATTGTAAGGGAATGGAGAAAGAGAGAAAGAGAAGGCTTAGAAGAGGCCATGGGTTGAGAATATTGATGAAGATTTTTGTTGGTTGGTGGATTGATTTGGGTTACTTCTTTGAGTTGGAAGTTTCAGTTGATATTTAAAGGGGAGAGAGAGAGAGACGCGGGTGGGGGGTCTCTGTTGGATTGTCCTATGAGAGAGTCACCGTGTGATGGTGTGGTGCAGGTCTATGAAGATTCTCAGATATAGCTGGATTGAATGAGAATTCGTGTCATGACATTGAGTGGAAAATGAAGGCCTTGTTTGCTAGCCGTTTTTAAAATAGGTGAATAGTGTATAATATTGATTGTTTTTGTTATGTAGTGTTCACTGGGCTGCATGAGACTGTTATTTAGTAGTATTTGACTGCATGGGACTGTGTGAGTGATTGTTGTCTGTCGCATTGATTTTCTTATCTCACATTAAAATTATGCATTACATATTTACATTCAAGTCAATGTGACGGTGTGTGAAGTTCATTAGTTGATTATCTTAGAATTAGTTATCGTCGGCAGGATGTCACATTTAATTTGATTATCAAACGTAGTGCATGCCAATGCGTAGTTGTTACTGTTTGATAGTTACGTATCGTTAAGACTAAACAGTGTGGAATTTTCATTAGATTCTTTTTTTTCCTTTCACATCATATATAACATGTATGTGAAAAAATGTTTATTGCTTTTTAGGCATCTTATCTTATTTGCCCAATACATATTCATATAGATAGATATTATATAATATGCTTGACCGCATGATTAATTTTAAAAGTAAGCCAAGGGGGAAAAAAAAAAAGGCAATGTTCGATGCTACCGACACTTTCTTTCGAGAAAAGGGTCTTTGGAAGGTAAAAAGCATAGACAATAAGTGTAGTGCTGTAGGAAAGCCCGGAAGAGCAATGAAACCAGTTAAAACTGTTGCTTTGAGATAAGAAATGATCTGGAGATTACTATATTATCCCTCGTCGATTAATTAACTACTGCTATTAAATAGCGTTTGAAATTTTAGCTACAAACTGATCTTAAGGCACTAGATTAGTAAGAGCAGCCAAGTTGACTACAATGTTATATAATCAACCGGACAATTAAATAGAATATGAAATTTTCCAACTTGATTTAGACCCTGCTTTGATTGGTAAAAGGATACAGTGCTACCTTGCATCCAATAAAATTAGATCGAGGTGTTTAACAATATCGAGTTAATTGCAAGATATAAGTGTGTCTCTATTGAGTTGTATAGTATTTAATTTTGATGCTGTTCTGAAAAAAAAAAGTATATATATGGTATTTTCTATTAAAAATAATATAATATTATAGAATTTAATACATCAATAATAATAAATATTATAAATTTTATAAGAAATTATTTATTAATATTTTATTGTGTATCACTGAAAAGACATAAAAAATAATATTTAATTTAACGATGTGTTATTATGTTATTTATTGAGAAATAAATTCTCTGTGTGAGTTTATTTATTTATTTTTTGCTATTTCTATGGGAATCTTTAGATGATGGGATCATGTAAAGTGAGATAGACAAAGACCATCAGCTACGTCTCACAGATTTTGACAGGCCGTATAGTTTGACATCATCATAATTAATAAGAGATTGACATCTTATTTAATATATAATACATCTTATTTAATATATAATATAGTCAAATTTAATGAGATTCCAACACCAAATTAGACAATAATAAAGAAAAAAATTACAACGATATTGCATCATAATCAAAGTCATTATAATTTAGTGGGAACCTATCAATAAAGTCATAAGAATCGGCTAGTAGGCTCGGGTTTTGAAAGTTTGCAAATGATTTATATCTTCTTTATTATTTTTGTTATATAATTTTGTCTTTAATAAAATACTGACAATGGAAGGAAAAACTTAGAAATATATCAAAAATTGCAGAAAAAAAATGTAAAGATTGTTTACATTGACATAGACCCAGATGTAAAACATTCATTCGTCTTTTAGGAGAAAAAAATACATTTTTTAAAATAAAAAATGTAGTGTAAACATTTTTAAAAATACAAATATAATTTACTCATTAAAAAACTATACCTGATTTTCTTATAAGTTTGACACTGATTTTTCAACATATTACTAAGGTGAGAGTCTTCCTTCTAAATATTTTCTCGCAACAATATATTTTGATTTCTGAGAGAGCATCATGGAAATCTAGGCCTGAGGACCACTAATAAACAAACAAAAACAATGCAGAACGTGAAATGACTCGTGCAAAGTATATCATTTGGAAAACCTACTGTCATATCCATGAGACACCAAACATAACTCTTTCTTACATAGCCATGGACACAATGGGAGTTAGGATCCTATTAATTTTGCATGAAAGTTATTTGTGTGATTGAATTATTACATTTTGAAGCAGAATTAATTTTACAACTTGTTTAGTTTTTTGGTTAGCACAAATTAATTAGCAAGCATGCAAACGATAAAAATGATAACAAGTTTTTTTGTTTTCTTAGCAAACATTTTTTTAATAAAAATTAAACATACACTAAATGTGTGTGTTTGTGTGTATGTATGTATATTATTTTTAGCAAAATAAAAGCATCTTCAATTTAATTATTTTAAAGAATAAATTGATATAATAAATCAAACATTTTTTATTTTTAAAGGCGAAGATAATAAATTCATTTTCTAGGAACTAACATAATTAATTTTAAATTTTTCTGAAATTAAAATATTGCTTTCCGTATGAGGGGGACCTCCATTATATTGTTGGCACCGTTGGTTTAATCTGAACAATTGTAATTTTTAAACATTTAAAGACTATTACTATTAGAATATGTAAATATTATTGTAAATAAAAATATTTACAAGAATATTTACATATTCTTATAATTACTATTTATTTAAATTTTTTTATCACATTACATTATTAATTATATTTATTATTTCCCTTTCTCTTTTTGTTTTTAGTTACCTCTTCTTCTTCTCTTTGTTTTTGTATTTTGTTTTTTTGGGTTCAAGAGATCTAGAGAGAGGTGGAGATTGAAAAAGAAGGATAGAGATGTGAGTTTTGTATGTAGGAAAGTTTGAATCTTGCTCTTCACATTTTATCTTTTTAACTTAACACTAAATTATCAAAGGAGAGATCCATTCCCTTTGTATTATTATTATTATTGTTGTTATTATTACTTCTCTTTGTCAATCAGGGTGCAATAATCTCTATAAAAGTATCAAATGACTACCTAGCCCATATTAGGTCAACATGGTTTCGACTTCATTGAACCAAATAAAAAATAATAATTATTTAAACCTTAAAATAAAAGATTAAACTAAACTTTAAACTCAAATTTTACATATAAATATATTCGATTAACTTGATAAAGAAAAAAATTTAAATAAACCAAAATAAACAATTTAATTAATTCGTCTTAAATTAAAAAAAGAAGTATTTATGTAATTTTGGTGTGTAATAAATATAAAACAAGGAGATAAATGTGTATAATGAAAAGAAATAAAATAAAAAATTAAAAATTATCTGGCTTCAAGTATAAAATTAATCATTTTGGAGGTTAATTAAGACGCGAGGAAGGACCGAAGTTCTAATTTTGAAGGGCTTAGCAATATTAGTCTAAAAGTAATCTCTTTTGGTAAAAGCCACCAAAGCAGTGTATGGTATTGATATTTAATGGATGAAGGGAAAGAATTTCTCATCTGCGAAACAATATATTCTCTAAATAGGTAGAGAACATGCACTATCAGGTATGTTTCTTTCATATTTGGAAGGGTCCTCAGTGATATTGCCACGTCATATATCCAATATTTATAACTTTTTTGTCCTTCCCTGCAATTATTGGTGTCTTTCAACACAAAACGATGAACATATTGATGGCACTCGTTTACATGCACAATTTTGGAAGCTTAACCATAACTCAAGCTTGTGCTCAAATCATAAGGACGATTTTTCACTTGTTCATAGACCAGCTGTCAACATAAATACTATACGCAGCTGAGTGGTCATCTTCTCCATTTTAGCTATTTCAGTCCCTTACACCTATCTTAAGATATTAAGATGGGACCATCCATGAAATCCACCTTCAAATAGAACTGCTACTATCTGGTCTTTTGGTCTATATATATGGGTTTAGCACTTCAAATCGAAACTTCAAAAGCTATACATCTTGGCCTTTTGTTGGCCAAGAGGTTTTGGTACTAAAAAGAATATTTTAATTCCTGACTTTGTAAAATTATATTTATTTAACTCTTTTCTATATAAAAAGAAAATAAAATAAGGCTAAAATGAGACATTTTTAAAACATAGAAAATTAAAGCGAGATGATTATAAAATTAAATATGATTAATTTTTACAATTTAAAGAGTTACATGTTTATTATTGAAATTAAATGTATATTTTATTCTTCAATTAATGATGGATGAAAGTTGTTGATACATGTTGTTCCCGTTGATGATCGTGGGTGGTGTGCGAACATAGGTACAAAGGGATTGAAAATTGCTATTGACTAAAATGGCGAATATGTGAATTTGAATTATCAAGTTCAATCGCATTAATTAATGGTTGGCAGCGATTTCTGAATGGGAGGAAGCACAGAGTGAGACATGAATGTTTCATTTCTTGCAATTCTTTCCCTTCGTTAGGAAGCCATAACTGCTCTGCCTCTAATCACGCATTTGAGAATATTTTTTAAAAAATATGAGTTAATTTTACTTTATAAAAAAGTTTAATTCATTTTACTATTCAATTTTTTATTTTTATTAGTAATTATTAAAAAATTATCTAAACCGAGTCATAATTCATGTAGCTAACGTCAACATTTTATAAGCTTTTATGATGTAATATTTAACGAGACATTGTATATAATGTCGTTTCTTACAAGTAATATTTTTTTCATGTTTAGTGATGTACTATTAAAAACTCAAAATATTGAATAATGTGATATAAATTAATTTTTTTTATGTAAAAAAGTCATTTACTCAAAATATTCTATATTCATTTTAAATGTGTTATATTACAACTAATTTCAAGAATTAGAAGTCTCTAACAAAATTTTCGTATTAGTCTAAATTCCACAAGACAAATTAGGAAAGTTCAGAAGGAACCTTAACACCAGGATGGTTTAAATGTGTGTATAATATTTCTTTTGTTTATTTTTATAATCACATTTAAGAAGATTTTTTTCCCCTTTATATAAGTTATTTTTAATTTTTTCTTCTCAATTTTACTATTAATTCATCATAGGTCATGTTTAACTACTCTGCATTTTCTCATATAATTTTCACTTTTCCAAAAGTATGTCAAGATTAAAGTTTGTGGTGGCCATGAATATTGCTGATTTACTATACTTTCTATTAAGGATAATTTTGAATAATTAAAATGTTTTTTAATAAATTTAAAATTTTACCAACTATTTTTTATATTTTATAAATATGTGGCTGCTGTTAAAATTGCTTATAAAAAGAAATAGAGACTGTTTACTTTTTAAATAATAGATAGTAATATGCACTAACTTTTTTATGATCCATGTATTAATATACAATTAAGTATTGAAATTTAACTAATTTAATTGTACTTTTTATCTCTTCAATTTAGATGATTGTAATTTTTTTAATTAAGCCTCTCACCTCTTAAACGTTGGCAAAGTTAACCTTTCGTCAAATTTCTTAATTCTTCCTAAAACTTAAAAAAAATTGAGCTCAACTCACCATTCATGTCTACAACCCGCAGCCCCGATCTACAAAAACAATATTGGTTTGGTTTAAACTTCAAAAGAGGAGTTAATTAATCCAATCACCACAGTAAAGGAAATGGCAATGGTGAGCTGATTCTCATTGTAAAATTGACGTTTTAGATAATATCTCTAGTGTATTCTCTGCCTACGTAATATATATAGCATAATATCATCAATAATCATATATGCAAAAGTCAATATACACACCAAACAGTCAATAATCATTATATATTATGTGAGCAAGCTGGTTTTATGGAAACTCGTTTTTTTGTTTTGTCATTTTTTTTTTGCAGTTTTTTTCTTTCTCTGGGCTTGGGCCATCAATGTTCCAAAAATGAAAAAATATTAATGAAGAACATGAAAGAAACAAACCCAATTTACAGGGCGCCCCTCATCCATTTTCTGAATGTTATTACTATCTCCCTTTCATGTAAGCCAGAAAACAAAACTACAGAGAACTATGGCACAAGCAATGATGCTCGTCATTTAAAAAAAAGTGATCAGCAAACCAATTTAAGAAAACATGCATGCTTACCATGCACATTTGTATGGGTTTCCAAGAAGAAAACAACGACAATCACAATGACAATGACACGATTTTGCTACATATACACTTCAGTAAATTAACTTTAAAAATGACGACTAAGAAAAAAAACATGAAATTATGAACAACAAGAAGGTGCTTCACATCATCATAAAACGATCATCATGAAGATCCCGACCGATGTTCTTAATTTCCCACAAATAACTCAACGAGGCTTTCTCCCTTTACTTCTCCATTGATGTTGCCGCAACTTTTATGAGATTCCCCATTAAAGATCACAACATCGCCCTCACCTCAGTCCCTCACAATCCATTCAACATATATATGCCATTGCATTGCATATCCTCCACTCAGTCCCATCACAAGCATTGAATCTTCCATATATACCCCACATGCAGGAACCAAGAAGTTAACGTATTTCTCCGAATTGAATTGAATTTACCAGGGTCTAGTTCCACTGTTTACATCCATAGACCAAGTCCTACGCGAACGTGGCGAGGGATCCACATTATAAAGAGAAGTAGTAGCAATAGCACTAGCACTCCTCATAGTTCTAGAATGCTCTCTAATAGAAACAGAACTATGAGGCCCAACAACACTACCACTTCTGAAGCAAGCAAACAAACTATGAAACATTCTTCGCAAAGAACCACCACTTCCTCTCCCTCTAGAAGAAGAAACCGACCAAGAAACCCTCCTTGGTTCCCCAACAACACTGTTAAAGTTAAACCCACCATCAACTTCTGTGTACACAAGAGGAACCTCACCTCTTCTTCCACCACCATACCTTCCCACCGCAAACCCACCACCCGGTAACCTCCAAACAGTCAACCCCACGTTCTCTTCTTCGTTGATTTGCTCCAAACGCCCGTTCGCTTCTTCAGAGGGCAATTCGTGTCTACAAACAGGGCAAGAATTACGAATTGCAAGCCATGGTAAGATACATTCATGATGGTAAATGTGTTTGCATGGCATTTCCTTCGCTGCGATGCCAAGTTCAAAAGGCTCTTTGCAAACCGCACAATGTGACTCTGTTGCCATGTGGGTTTCATTTATCTCAATCGCCGGCAACGACTCCACGGCAGATATTGACGCCGGACGGGGATTCTGGCCGTGTCTCCCAACACTACCGTTGGCTTCCATGTGTGAAAGCTGTTCCATTACTCTATCGAACCCTGAACCCAGAAGAACCTCCGACATTCTCTGAGGTAACGGTCGCAGACCGGAACCGGCACCGTCGTCGTAGAAAAGCTCGAAGCCACGGTCACGACTACTTGACCCTTCGCCGCGGAACATGATAACAGGGTTGAACGGTGAACGGTTGCCGCCGGTGTTTATGCAATTCCGCCGGCGAGAGGAACGGGAATTTTGATCAGAACCGGTCCGGTTGCCGATCATGTACATTGCCGCCGCCGAAGGGAACCGACGGCGGCGACCTTCCCCGGTGAGAAACCGGTTCGGATGTTCGATTTCTTCGACGAATCCGCTGTCGCAATCGGGACACGTTGTAATGCCATGTTGTCTCCATGCTCTGACAAATCGGTTGCACCTGTGACACCAATGGGAAGACATCTACGTATAGATAGGAATCTACGAATACGGTATACCCTTTTGAATTAGAAGATGAAAAGAAGTTTTATGCAGCCCCAGAATTGGGTTGGCGAAAGGGGTATTGATTAGAGAGAGAAAGATTGGAAATGTTGAAGTGGAGAAAGGAATTGGAATGTGTTGGTCATGGTTTCCATGGGAGAGGAGAGCGAGGGTTCCGAATGGTTAAGAGGAAATAAATGGAAGACAGGTTCATGTTCATGGTGTCGCGTCGAAGGAGATAACAGAAAAACGACGTTTGTCTTTCGTATACGCTCTTCGTTAAGCGACACGTCGTCTAGGGCGTTTCATTGTTTCAATGAATGGAGAGTTTTAACTTTTATGAGTGAGCCGGTGCAAGATTCCAGCCTGCCACTGTCTCAAAATAGAATAACAGATGATTTTGTTGCAGAATCTCTGTTCATTATGTTTTTTATAGCAAAAAAAATTTATAATTACTGTTATTTGTGAATGCAGTTTTATTGTCTACGAAGTTAAAAATGAAAAATAAAGATGGACAACTAACGGAAATACGACCAGGTACATTACACACGATTTCTATAAACGATTAATCTCGATGTGTCTAGTTAAATCGTCTTTTTAATCGACAGAAAAGAGAATAAAAATCAAGATCTAATTCGGATTAAATGTTTATTCAATTTTTTAATAATAAAATTTATTAAAATAAATTGAGAACTAAAAAATTATTTTAATAAAATAAATTAATGCGTGTCGTTCTATCAAGATTAAATGATTTGGATTTGATTGCATTTGAGAAATAATATTTTGTTATATCGAAATCTCAAGTAAATCATGCGGCAGCAAGTCCTAGTTGGTTCGGACAGGTTTTACCGTTTAAGCAACGTTAGTATTTTATGTTAATTAGAATTAGAATTTCATCTCAGTAATATTTATCTACCTTTAAACGTAGATGTGCTAACATTTAGTACAGATTTTTATTTTATATATTACTAAGGCAAAAGAAATTCATTTTTGATTAAAAAATAATACCAATAATATTTATCATACTTCTTCTAAATTTTATTATATTATAGCATCGGCAGCGTTGAGAGTGATGAGAATCAGAATAATGAAAAGTATGAGAAATCTATGCCGTTCAGAAACTCCAACCTCCCAAAACTTCGAAAAACCCAACTCATGAAGAACCCTGTTAATTTCTTTATAAGGAAGAAAAGAACCTTGTTAATTGTTTTAAAATTGCATACCACAAATCTGTTACTCTGCTTTTCGACAACCGAGTCCAACGTACGTAATAAAGGACATGAACATGCCACCAAATAGTAGAAAGCAGGGAACTTTTTCTGCGTTGCGTGAAATGGAAAATATGAAAAAATATTTATATATAAGCTTCTTTAAGTTATTTCATGGACTAAATAACTTCAACTGAAGTAGACTAATGAAGTTAAAATATTTTTTTAAAAATAATATAATTTCTTTTTAAAAAAAATATTGGTTCATTCAAAATAGATCAAATTATTTCATCTGTGACATAATTTAGATAAACTGGAAATTTGGAAACATAAATTTAGGAAGAAGGGAGAAAATACAAAGGTCTCACTCCACTGTCGCTGCTCTAGCTCTCTTTGCCGTCTCCACGGTTCTATTCTTACGGCATGCTTGCTTTCAAATTGAAAAGGAAATTGAGTTACGCCACAATTTGCGTTTTAGGCTTTTAAATTTTATTTAAATTGAAAAATGATAAAATAGATATAATTTTTATATTAATTGTTATAATATGACAACAATATACGATTGATGACGGTTTGAGTTATTTTCTCAAAACTTTTCTTAATTAATCTTTAAAGTATGTTAGAGAGTGGAATTTTGAAGAAAACATATATATTTTTGAAATTAAGAAATGTATATTGTATATATATAAAAGTAAACAATAAATTAATTACACAATAATTTATGCTAGTTGAAATTTTAATTTTTATTTTAAACACTATCAAATTAGAAAATGTTTATAAATTTAAAAAAAAAAAAAATTTTCTTTTATTGCAAAACCTTGCTTTCATTAAACATACTGGCCATAAGATTTTGTTTTTCATGAGTTCTATATATGATAATAATACATTCATGAAGTCCATCATTTATGAGATTGAAAATTTAAAAAGTCTATTATTGCAATTTGCGAGTTACCAGAAGCCAACATAACAATTAACAGGAGATAAATCCAACTCCACCCCTACGTGGGCGCACTGCTTGAGCTTGCATGAATGAATAAGTTTCAAATCTAATTTGCATTTAGATTTCAATCAGTGGTGAAGAATATTTAATGTTAGTGGATATATATATATATATGAGCCATACTACTTTGTCAAAAGCCATATTGTGTATTCAAATATAAGTTGTAGCAAATAATATTTAGCTGCATGTTCAACAATTTTAAGAGTCAAAATACTATTTCTGATTTGAATAAAATAAAAAATAATTAGCTAATTCTTTGAAAAAGTTTGGCCAATCCCATACAAAATGAAAGTTTTGGGGGCCACTTTATGAAGTTTCCCACTTCTTACTATTGAAGTGATTGTGTGGGCTCTATCTAATATTGGGCAAAATATACTTCCACATGTTATCTTATTAAACCACTTATTTCATCGTTAATCTAACGGTTCCAATTTAAGTGACTGTGTGAATTCGTCATTTCCTCACCACAGGATATCTGAATTCTGAGTGAACGCAACTAAGTCACGTGTTACTATTTAGAAAATGTTTTGCTATATTTTTAGTGGGATATTTAAAAAAAATTGGAAAATATTTTTAAAATATGTGCATAAAAATGAAGATAATTATATATAGTATTATATTTTAAATATTTAAATAACAGAACTGCATGTATTAATTTCTATTACCTTTCATAATTCCTCACTCTTAAATATTAAAAATAATGCCCGAGTAAAAAATACCAATATTTACCGTGAGTGCGGTATATATTACTTTTGAATAGAGAGACAGCGAATGAAACAGAATAATTAAGCACACACGATTTCAATATCTTAACGTAAACAAAGAATCCCAAACAATCAATTAATCAACAAATAAAAAAAGTGATAAAAAGCACAATTTTATGACATTAAACACACAAGCTAGCATCCATGCGTTCATACAAGTTAACAAAATAAAATAATTAATAAATCTTATTCTAGCTTATAATGAGTACAGTAGTAACATACTAATTTTCACTGTAAAAAATGGCTTGAAAGTTCTCAACACCTTCATCATGTGATCAACCAAGGAAGTACGAGACACAGTGCCATCATTCCCAGCCAAAACTCTATACTTATCTTTCCGAGTAAAGTTGGTGCACTCAAACCCAAGCGTAGCCGCTAATATCCTCTGCACATAGTTAGCCACATCGTGTGGACTCTTACCCGAAGAACACGTGGCTTCAGCCGGCAACTGGTTCAAGAAAGTAACCTCGTAAACCGGTCTCGGGTTCATGAAGAAGAAAATGGGGTCCAAACCCTTCCATCCTCTTGCAGTGGTTGCATGGAAGAACCCTACTCTATAATTCATGGCCACGGGCACTATCCGGTCAGTTAGTTCAGCAAAGAGAGCACTGAACCTTAAAAGGAATGGTTCACGACATGTCGTTCCTTCGGGACACACCGCCAAATCGCCTTTGGATAACTCGCGTTTGATTTTTTCGGCATCGATGTCTCGTGTTCTTGTTAACCTAACGGTGGGTATTGGAGAGAGAATTTCTGATAAGCGTGAGATGGAGTATGTGACCGCAGGAATCTTGCGCTTGAGGACGGAGGAGAGGACGACGGGGTCCATGAGAGTGCGGTGAGTGCAGACGAATAGCACGCCGGAGCTGCCGCCAGAGGGAGCAGGTGGTGGTTTTCCTTTTACGATGACTTTGCCGCCAAATAGCCTTGATATGTAGGGAATGGCCCAAAAGGGTAAAATGGACCCCATCGTGAGGCGGATTATGGCTAGTAAAATGCCCACTGGCATCCATAGGAGGATTAGTAGGGAGGTGGACGGTGTCGGCCGCTTCACGAGGCGGCCGTCGTGGAATATCACCGGAAGTGGGCGGAGCAGCTGGTGATCATAATTTTCACTTGTGAAAAATGGTGGGTGCAATTGATTCTGCATGAAAATGAAGGAAAATAAATCAATATCATAGAATTTTGATTAACATCATGATATTTGATCGATCGGTATAATTTTTTTAATCTTTCCTCTTGTTAAGAATGTTAGTTGAAGATTAATATATTAAAAAAACTGTTGGAATATATTAAAAATATACTGAAAAAATTTAATAAAAAACTGTGATTTTTATTGTTTTAACCCTGGTTAATATTGTTAAAATTTGCGTATATAAAAGTAAAAATTTATATTAAAAATTAAAAATAATAACGGTTACACAAATAAGTATAAAAATAATTGCTCCAACAGGTATTTGCATAGACTTTTAAGAAAAATAATTCTTTTGCATCCTATTTTAAAAACTATAAAAAGAGAGGGCATCAATTGAGTAGAGGAAGAGAGATAGTAAAAAATAAAATTAAAAAAATTAATATAAAAGGAAATATGTTTAAAAATACAAGAGTTAAGATCTAACATCATAACGTAATTGTTGTTAACGATGTATTAAAATAGCTAAAGCAAAGCATTTAGTTTCATTCTTCACTTGTTTTTAGAGACGTTTTTCAACTTAATTAATTGATTAAGAATACCTTGCAAAGACGCGAGAAGGAATTGTAGCATGAAGTACTACTAGGCCTTGCCATACACAAAGTGGGTGCATCATCGTTGAAAAGCTTAGCAACCCTTTCAGAGACGGTACTGCTCGAATCACCATTGACCAAACCCGTGGCGAAGCCAAACCTATTGAAGGAGAGCTCGGTCCCAATGACCTCATCAGCACGTAAATGCTCCTTCACGAACCTCTCCACCATTATTTTTGGCATCTTGGTGACCACAACCCTCTTCTCATAGGAGCTGAAAACCTTCCACGAGTTCATGTCGAGATCATCCATGTAGAACTTTGGCAAAACGGCCCTCGCCACGGACTTAATCTCCGAGTGTTGAACCCCAACAACCGCCACAAAGATCATTAGCTTTAACCCTGTGTCCCTCATGCCAACCATGTCAAGAAACCGAATCAAAGGCCATAGTATTAACAACAAGGCAAAACGAAGCAAACCCGATGCTTCAAACGCTACCAACATGAAGTAGGAGAACGTATCCGAGTCCTTCAAAAGCGTGCCTTCTAACTCAGACACCACAGATTCCATTATGTGATCTCTTTCTCTTCGTACAACTACCTTTGATCGATGTTTTGCTATAACTTTTTTCCGCGGTTTCGATCGAAACTTTTGTGTTTCCTAAGGTTTCACTCTTGCGGCTTATAAAATGAATTGGGTTTTATTATATGGTTATAAGACTATAGAATTGGGCTTTAATTTATTTAACTTGTCTCTAAAGCTTTAGAGACTATAGGCAGTTTATCAGTTTTACAACCACTCGTAGCCACTTGGCTTTTTCTTTCCTTTCTCTATCTACGTTTGTGGGTGGATATATCCGCGAAGAATAGGGGATTTTAAGCCACGTTTATTGGCAAAGATTGATTACTTAACCCCAACAAATTAAAAAGTAGTGTTGGTAGCCGGCTACTTTTGGTATTTGGATACCTAATTAAAATTGGCGCGTCTATTACGAGTATTTTTAGGTTACTTACAATTCCTATAAGTGAAGATCGAATACGTATCTTTTGCACGCTATTGTTGTATCATAAGAAAAGCTATTTATTTCGTCATGCTGTGCATATATGACGTAATATTCACCGTTATCTGGAGAGTGTCCGAGACAAATCAACGTATAGTAAATACTAGTCGTCTAATATTGTTGCAAATTAACTGTAATTAGCGTAACTATAGATTTGACGTATTGAAACGTGCAGGTGATGTCATCTAATCTTGTACGTAGGTTTTATTCTCTGGTTTAGAAAAAAAAAAAACCTTCTTTATTTGATGAAAATCGTAATACTGTGAATTTCTTTAACACATGGTGTTTACTTATTTAGTATCTTTCTTTTTTAGCTCTAAATAATATATATATATATATATATATATATAAGATAATGATTTTCTTAAACTCGTAATTTGATAAATAAAATAATAAATTATAACACATTAGATATAAATTAAATAAATTATTCATAAAAATTTTTATATTTACAGTAGTATGAGAAGATCATTCTTATATATTGTATATAAAATATTTTAAATGAAAAGAGTTCGTTATTATAAAAAGTGATAGACATTAATAATAGTTATTATATTAAAATAAAGAATTTAGATTTGATGTTATTATCTCACAATTCATTTTCTTTTTTTCTTTTGTTAATAACTATTATTAATGTCTTTTATCTCTCACTTAAAATATCATATATATATATATATATATATATATATATAAATAAGTATTAATCTCTTTGATCATTGATAATTTTAATTTTACAGTTGATATTTATTTATATTTTAAAAAAGTAAATGATATGTTAAAGCAAATTATTAATTTATAAATTAAATATGTATTTTAACTTTTTTTAAATGACTAATCACAATAAGTGTGTTAAAAAAAATATATTGCTAATATTTTTTTCTCTCAGTGTCATGAAATGATAATATCTGAAACTGTTGATTTGATTACAATTAAACTTGAACAGAGAATCCGACTATGTCGAATTATTGCAAGGGCCATGTTCTCTCAATCATTATTTTAAATGTTCGTATTGTGTGTGTATACATATATCACATCAAAATGCAAAAAGACAGAGACACTTATGGTGTCCATTATTCCTAGTCTTTAAAAAACCATTTCCATTATTGTAATGTTCTGCTCTTTCTTTGGCAGGGTCTTAAGTTATTGCTACTATCACTCTTATAATTGCCTTTGATTAATCATAAAGAATTTCGATATATCTAATGAAATAAATGATATGTGCGTGTGTGTGAATTTTTATAAAAAAGCATTATAATATTTTAAAAAGTTAATGATTATAAATAGTTTTTTATACGAGTAAACCATAAAAAATTATTACTAGATCAATAAAGTTACAATTTTTCAAGAAATGGTGTCGACAACAAATGAAATTTCCATGCAAACAATAATTAAAGATTACCCTTTTTAATCTTTTGTCTCGCTGCTACGATTAAGTAACCAATAATTAACTACGATAAACATTTTTTAAGCTTGTTTCTTTGGATGTACTTTCCTCCAATTAATTTATATTATGTGTTTAAAAATTCATTAAAAATTATAAATACAAAATTAATATAAAAAATACAACTATAATATTAAAATAAATATAAATTTAAAGATTTTAAAGACAAATACAAACATGCTAACACAGTGTGACGATATTTTGCATTGCATGAAACAGACATGCGTCAATCTCTGCGATTGTCATTTTAGCGTACTAAGCACTACAAATTTTGCTGGTCCTTTCACTTTAGGAGCTTTTTATGCATAAATAAAATTAATGATGGTAATTCCGTGTTAAAAAATTATCAATAGTTGCTTAAAAATATTATTCTGTTCATTTTTCAAATTGATATTATTATTTAAACATTTTTTAAAGTACGCTAAAGAACAAAAAAATTTATATAATAATTTTTTTACTAAAATTATATAAAACTTTTCTTTTTAATTATCGTTAAATAACATTATATCTACCTAAGCTAATTCAGCATTATACAGTTATTTTGTTGTATATATAAGATGCTTATGATTAAATTAAAAAATTAATTTCTATATGTAATATTAATTTCATGTTAATATCTCCATAATAAGTTATACTTTTAATTTCTATATATATTGTACACAATTTTTCTGTGATTTTTTTTATCATATTAACAAGACGTTTGTAGTGTCAACCAACAGCATGTAAAAACTAAAATATAAGATTTTTATGTAAAAATTAAAAGAAAAGATAATGAGATAAAACGCAGGAACTAACTTTTAAATTTATCGCGACTTCACTTTTTCATTATCTTCTTTCTGTGGTTAGTATTATAATTAGGTCTGAGCTCAGTTCAAGGATATGGGAGAGTAGTAGGTACTTATTATCTAAAGATATTTGGATATTTTAGATTTATAATTGGTTAATTAAATACTTTTTTTTATTGTTTTTAACTGAATAATATGAGACCATATTCTTTTAGAGTACGCGAGACTTGTAATTTTAAGGTTGTGCTAGAGGTTTTACTTTATCGGGGACTTGATGTTGGAGGAAGAGAGAAGAGGATTGTGCATTTTCTATTTACATATATTTTAACCTTTGCAAATTATCAATATTATTTTGTTATTTTATAATTTTTAACTAAAACAATTATAAATTATCTTATTTCTAATTTTTGAACGGAGAAAATTAAAATTTATCACACGACAGACGCGACTATCCAAATCTTCGATATATTTAAAGAAATATATATTATTATAATGTATAAACATTTTTTCTTCTTCTTCAAGTATGTTGATTTAAGATTTGAATAAATTATCCGCCACTTAGCCCAATAAAATATCTAGTATCTAAATTTATTTATATAATTCACTCCTAATTGATTGATGCATCTCTCTAATGATAATAATGATAATCTAGAGGTTGGACAACGCTGAACTCAACTTCACACCGATATTTTTTACTTTAAAAAAATGATTTTCGTCTTTATATAAACAGGTTCTGTGTTAATAATAACGATAGAGGTTCATGTTCCATTAAATGGAAATTCAAACATATTGTAATAATATATAGCTTGTCTAGGAAAATAAAAGAATGTATAAAACCACGTTTAACTAAAAGTAAATATCAGTTATATATTTTTTACGGTAAGTTAAAAATTATATACTAAAGACGAGTCAAAGTAAATAATTTAATTAAAAATTTATTTACTAAAGTTGTCCATAATTATGAAGTTTAATAAAGAAAAATAAAAATATTTTAATAAATAATATATAAAGTTCCTTTTTATAAGACAACATCTTTTTATCAAATAAGTAATATAAAAAAAATTTATTCATGTATTATATAATGGATATTACACTAAGATATTTATCACATCAAGACAGCCCATTCATATGTGAAGCAGCCTCTAAAAATGTTTATTACATTTAGATGGCACTCGGTATATTACAAACATTACAAACAATAGATTCCGTTAAAAAAAATATAGAAGTTAATTCTCTAAATTGAAATAAGATCTTCAAATATATCTTAAGTCTTGTTGTATAAACTTAAGACATTTAAACATTTTATTTATTTTAAATTCTTTTAAACTAAAATCAATTTTAAAATAGGAAGATTATTATAAACCAATAAGGGATATATATATATGATAAATATTTATCTGAATAATGTATTTGCCTAACATTTTTTAAGGGAATTTTGTAATCTCCTTTTCCTTTTGCATTAATTCAATTTAGTTTCAGAAGAAACGAAGCCTGACAAAATGTGACAATACTTGTAAGTTAATTATGTGATTAACTTCAAGTTTAACAATATGCCAATGGTTAACTAAAAGTCAAAGTGGGTAGGAAATATGTACGTTGCTGCTCAGAATGGCCTAAGCAAAACAAGAAGTTTGGTGTCACTTTTAACGCTGTTTGGTAAAAGAATTGAAAGTTGGTCAGAAAATAAATCCCAATACCTCTTAAGTTTGTATCTCGTAAACAAATACGGTTGCTCAACTCCTGGGAGACCCTGTACAATATAAAACATGTTTTTATTCAATACATAAACATTCCGAAACATAGAAATTTATGTTAATTCACATTCCATATGCCTTAATTGTCGCTGTGGAAAACTTGATCTCCTATTTGGTAAGGTTGGTAAGAAATTGAAAATTAAGACCCTTTTCTATTTTAAGAAATTTCTTTCTTTCGGTGCAATGTAATAAGACTATACAAACAAATGTATTTTATGTGCTTTCTTAGCCGCAATCCTTTGATCCAAAGTTTCCAACAAGGGAAATTTTCATTTGCGGATAACTTGGGTTATTTGGCCTGTAGCTTGTGCCGTGTGCTTGGGTTTTATATATATAATCTTTGAGTACTTGAAAATACCTCCTCTATAGTTCCATGTGCATATCCACAATGGCACAATATTGAAACCCAACGCAATTACATTCAAAGGGTTTCTGCGGTTGACTTGCCAACAAGATACTATTACGCATAGGCATGATGTTGTTGGTCACTTTCTTGCTAGTAATCATTTTTGTATTTCTTTTGTTCACCTTTTTTCTTCTTCTTTTTTTCTCTTCTTATTCAAATTTATAACAAAAATTATACAATATTTTATGATTTGTTTTGTAAAGGAATCCAGTCTCCAAATCTTCAAGAACACATATT